GTCCCATTCGTCTATCGGATTATCTGGAAAGGACTAACTAACGCTGCTCAACAGATTGCAAGAACTTGGCCCCTGTCTGGGAGAGCCTTGCGGAGGACTACATCATTGAGCCCGACGTTGTCATTGCCAAGGTTGATGCCGAGGCGGAGAACAGCAAGGCCACGGCCAAGGAGAACGGTGTCACCTCGTACCCCACGATCAAGTTCTTCCCCAAGGGCTCGACCACTCCCGAAGACTACAATGGTGGCCGAAGTGAGGTAGAGCTGCTCGAGTTTGTCAACTCTAAGACCGGCGCTCGCCGTGTCCCTGGCGGCGGCCTGGATGCCACTGCCGGTACTATCGACGTCCTGAACCACATTGCCCTGAAGTACGCCGCCGGTACCGCGAAGGTGTCGGATCTTATCGTCGAGGCTAAGAAGGCCGTCGAGGGGCTCGGCAAGGATGCGCAATACAAGTACGCCGAGTACTACATCAAGGTGTTCAACAAGCTTGCGGAAAACGAGGGTTGGGTGGCCAAAGAGTCGGCGCGCTTGGACAACATCATCAAGAAGGGCGGCCTCGCTCCCTCCAAGCTGGACGAGCTCCAGAGCAAGTCCAACATCCTGAAGCATTACATTAACAAGGTCCTTGGCAAGGATGAGCTCTAAAGATGACAATGCCTTTTTGATCTTGCGATAAATCATCTAGACTGGAAACAAGCGTAATCAAGACAGGGGATGTGAACGCAGAAAGGGAAGAAGGATGCTCGCGGTTTTTGGTGGAACATTTTCCTGTTAAGAGTGTATCATGATATTTGCCCTAAATAAACAGACTCCCCCAAACTTCTGAAACACCGTGCTTTGCCGCCATCCGCACTATGCCCTGATGACCTGTCTCGTCTTGTCCTGATTTCCTTTTACCGTTGTTCGGACTTGACCGGAGAACTTGGACTTTGGGTGGTCTCCTTGTTGGCTTTGAGGGAGGCTTCAAGGTTGTCTAAGCGACGCGACATCTCGTCCACTGACAGCACAGAGAGGTCAGTGACATAGATCGGTTAACCGCAGGCATGGATAGAGGAGCGAGGGTGTCTCGGTTCTGCGCGCGCGAACACGTACTCTTTGCGAATATCTCGTTTGATACATTGGCAAACTTGTTCGACACTGCAGGATCCTAAGGTCAGTTAAGGCGATACGAGGCAATTAAGAGGGAGGTACCCGTGATCGTAGTAGTAGGGATTGGAGGGGCAGGAAGGGAGAGACGTATAAGTGAGCTCTCTCTCGCTCTCTCTCAAAAAGGGCACCATGCCAGAGAGTAGTACACGTACAAGAATTTAGCAGGTCCTCGACAACGACGGTCAACTCATCAGAGCTCTATGAATAATTTCAGAAGCTTCTCGTCAGCAACCCATTGTTCTTTGCGTGGACGGATCATGGGAGGTATATCGGTGCATAAAGCTGGAAGGTACCTCAGTAGTACGTAAAGTAGGTACTTAAGGGAGGTAGGTAAGTCTGCCACGTACATTGCCAACCTGGCCGTCGTCGTTGGATTTCTCTTCAGGCTTGTTCGAAGACATCCTTGAGGCTTGTGACGGGGGTGTATGTAGATTTACTGACGATGACGAAAGTTAAAGTCATTAATATTTGCACGAGTACCAAGGCTGCTAAGCTTAGGTGAAAGGTACCTACTTCCTAATGCGCTATGCAGCTGCGAAGACGGAGTTGGTAAAGGGAGGGGAGGAGTACAGCATACCTACTACTGCACAACAGCAGCTAGGGTTGCCGATGGGGCCTTTTGGGGCCCTCTACGACGGTGCTAACCTACATACCTACCACTGTATGATGATAGGTTCACCATGGGCGCATAACAGCTTTCTTAACAAGAGTTCTTCTATCTACACATCCTCAGCGCGAGACACGCGAGAAATCAGTCTTGTGTCCTATAAATTCCATCATGTCGGTGCAGTGACGTGATGGAAATGCGAAAATTATCATGCCGCAAATGCCACAAGCTCAGGATAACGCGCGCATCATCTTCCTGATCTTTCTCCTTTTCTGGCTCGCCTCCAGCCCAGATACAGGTCCGGGACTCCTTGTCGGCCCGGGCCAGATTCGCAACCGTCTAGCGTACGAGCGAGCGGCTCATATCGTCCTTAATAGCACAGCATGGGGTGATTTCGCTCCCCGGCTCGCCGATGAGCCACCCGAGGTCGAGATTGAACACAAGTATTTGAACTTGACCGGCTTCCGGGAAGAAGACAGAATCGCGTGGGAAGACCTCGGCCGGTTCAAGGGTCGGTGCGAAGAATGGAGTCGTAATGCCATGAGAGCCTCTGAGACACAGTTACCTGTCTGGCAAAATGCTACCGGCGTTATTCGCGGTATGTGGGAGCGCAGAAACGCCTCGGTTCCGAGAACACACTCCGACTACAACCTCACTCATATGAACCCCGACGTCTCTTGGAGCGGCCTGAATATGGACTGGAGCAGGAATATCACGGGGAGAGAAGGCAAGATATTGGTGAGGATTGATGACTCCGAAGATGCCGAGACGGAGCCGGAACGTCCACATTCCAGTATTCTTCACCCGAAGGAGATTCGTGCCCGTCATGTGTCGACTGCAGTTACTATCGAGGACACTGCCGGGAGCGGAAACAGTTGGGAGATGCGTATGCACGGGGTTCACTGGCTAAGCCAAGGCGTCATGCTTTTTACCACCACGAGTGACAAGTATGCTGGTATCTTCGGTCTCCCCCATCTCACAACGAGCCCGGAGTATTTCGAATCAAGCCAGGCTCTACTCAGCAGGACGCTTGGCAATGCTTTAGATAAGAAGGAGAAAAGGTCATTCGCTGATCCGTCCGATCCCTGGGCATCCACGATCGATACGCCGGCTGAGGCCTGGAATCCAACACCACATTGCGAGTACCTGCTTTATGTCCAGATTCATCCATTGGATCCTGGTACACTTCGAGTCCAGCCAGCCATCACCGGCCCAGAGAACTTGATCAAGGCCATCCATGATGTCGAAAACGAACTGCGCTTCCCTCAGGGAACGCCACATAGGACCACTCCACGGCTGCAAATGTCCGCCGTGCTTTACTCCCCCGACTGCGCCTATTTCCTCGAGAGCAAAGGCCCCCCAGAACACCCTCAAACAGAGGGAGAGCACTTACTCGGTGTGAAGCAAGAGGTATTCTTGCATAATGTTAGCACTTGGCTACTGGGGTTGGCCTTGGTCATATTCGGACAGCTTCAGTTGCTCAAGTTGCAAATGAGGGAAACATCAACTCCCTCAACACTGGGTCGAGTCAGCTTCTATACTGGCAGTATAATGCTGCTAGCCGATGGCATCATCTTCGCTGCCTCTGCGGCATGGAGTTTATCCGCTTCCAATACCTTGCTTCCGTCCCTGGTCGTAACCTGTTCCTCCTTCCTCTCTATGACCGTAAGCATATTCTTCCTCGCCGAGGTCTATAAGGCTCAAGAGCCCGAATGGAGACGGCAAGAGCGCGAGAGAGAAAGGAACAATGCTTCCACAGCCAGCGCACCAGGAACCGAACCGGAGCCTCCAGCACGCCCACCTACAGGGGAGAACGCTGCTTCGGCTGCAAGGCTGAGGCCGGCCTCTCCTCCCATCATTATCCCGTCTGATCAAGATATTGACGCGGAAATCGCCGAGGTTACAAACAACACAAACACCACTAACACCTTACCAGCCCCCGTTACGGCCGGCACGGCTACAACGAACACACCAAACGATGCTCTATCTGTCAGCTCCATGCTCGGACGCTTCGTGCTCATCGGCATATGCATCCTCTTCCTGAGCCTCGCTGCTGCCACTTGGCGACCCTCTGTCCGCTCAGGCTATTTCAATCTGATGGCGTTCATATACATCTCAATGTGGACACCGCAGATATACCGCAATGTCTATCGGAATTGCAGGCGAGCGCTCTCATGGCAATTCGTCATCGGGCAGTCCATCCTGCGCCTGCTACCCATTGCTTACTTCTACGTTTTCCAGGGCAACTTTGCGTTTGCCGAACCGGACTGGAAGGCCTTCGCCGCGCTTGCGGGGTGGGTGTGGCTACAAATATGGATTCTGGCAGGACAGTCGGTGCTCGGTCCGCGATTCGGGCTGCCTAAGGGCTGGATGCCGGAAGCCTGGGAATACCATCCGGTTTTGAGAGAAGACAACATCGAGGCCGGCGGCCTCCCTATCGGTCTGGTCTCTACGCCAAACAGCCCAACGCTCGAGCGCTTGAAGTCATCGGAGGACTCTAGAGACAAGAAGCAGACGAGCATCCACGCAATCGACTGCGCGATATGTCGGGAAGTCCTCGAGGTGCCCGTGGTCAGGGCCGGCGTGGACGATCCTACAGCCGGCGGTATGGCGGGCGTCTTCGCGAGGAGGATGTACATGGTCACTCCGTGCCGCCATATCTTCCATAGCGTGTGTCTGGAGGGCTGGATGAGGTTCAGACTACAGTGTCCCATCTGTAGAGAAGAACTGCCGCCGCTATAAAGCGATAATTCAGCGTCCCTCCGGGGCTCTTGTTCAATCGTTTCACCTCTGGCGTGTTATCTGTGTTCGTGCTGTTTCGCTTCATACATGTCTCCATGTTTTACCGTGCGCGCTCGGGGGCTTAAGTTATACCGTTTCCTACTGTCAAATTCATACGCTCCACAAGGCAAAATGATATTAGTCCACTATCTTGATTTTGTAACCTTGCCTTGTTAGACGAGATGAAGTTCTCCCACAGCATCCAGTTCAATAGTGTTCCGGACTGGAGCAGTCATTATATCTAAAAGTCGGCCGCGAACAAAACAGCCCTCCTTCGACATGCAATCATATATATTATCTACCTACATAAGGACTTGATGCATAGGATTACCTACTCTCGCAACGTTTGCCCCCAAGTCAAGGGTTCAAGATGACAAGGTACACCGTGCTTCGGGTTGCACAACAAAAAGAAAAAGAGAGAAGATAAAAAGAAACTGCAAACGTTAGGAAAAAGAGAATCGAGGACCCAATGGGAATTGAACCCATGACCTATGGAACTGCAGTCCATTGCTCTACCACTGAGCTACAAGTCCGCGATTTTTTTAAAGGAGCTTCGCTTGAGAAAACGACGTCCCGAGGCGGTGAGACCGCTTGCTTCTTGGAGAGCAGCTGACGTTATCGTGAGTTATGACTCGCGGGATGGTGGCTGGGTTCTTTTTTAAGTAAGTAAATACTACCTGGGATACTCAGCTTCTGTGCCAACCTGTACAGTGTTGTTAGGGTCCTAATTACACAGTAGGTATACGCTGCTTAGCAGGTTGCCGTGCCCAACGTTACAGCAGTAAAGCTTGAACAAAGACCCTTTTTCTAGATCTGAATTATTTTCATTCAGTCGATACTGACCACTAGTCCATGGGGGAAGACATTATGAATCTTCTGTCCTACCTAAAGACCTCGTAACTTGGTAAATACCTAGGCTCATGGCTCTATACATTTGCTGCTGTATGCATTTTCCAATACAGCGCTTCGGATTTGGGGTTTAACCTGCTTGTTACCCGGTTTGTTACCTACCTCCTATTGGGGTAGGAAGTATCTTCCATGACAGAAAACCCCTCCTGCGGCATGTTTGAGAATTGAAATCCCGGCTTTGTTGGTACACCATACGTTTTGTCACATGAGACACTGAAACATACTATGTTAGGTATTCCAGCTGTTGCTTACGTGTGTTTGAGCGCTCCCGTTTCGGGATTTAAAGAGCTTGCAGGAGAGAGAAGAATGCGATGAGGCGGAAAAGATGATAGGATGTGGATTTAAACCTTGACTTTGTATGGCATATATACAGTATGATAAGTGTGGAAGGAAGAGGTTAGGTTGAAAACAGTTTTATTTTCCTTCGAATATGTATGGCATGTGGATGAGGCTAACCTTGGAAGTATATACGTTCGCCGGTTCCTCCACCTAACCTTAGCTACTTACCTACTAGCTAGTCTACATACCACCTACCTTGGAAATGGAGGTAGCCAAAGACGAGTGACTCGGTGATTTCTCTGTCTTCTCATGTAACCAGTAGTCTAGTAGGACGGCGGGTTGCTCAAACCTGCCTGCCTGCCTCTAGATTAGATGAAGCCGGCTGACTATGGGCGGCGTTGCCAGGATCTAGACTAGCACATGTACATCCGATCTTGAGGTGGGGGGAGGGGGGGGAGAGACGTTCCAAGAAGAGGCATGTTTGATCTTCCGGGTCCCTGTTTCGTCTGTCTACCCCGGCGCTTGTTTGGGCAGGGCAGAGGACTAAGTTAACCAAAATTGACGGGGAAATAAACCTGGGTAATTAACTTATTCGATAACACCCGGCGATATTGTGTTACATATTAACCTAATCTCCATCTGTTCCGTCACCTCCTTCTCTTTGACGTAACGCCGTCGATCCCCCACATGAAACCCCGCGGTAGCTCAAATGGTTGAATGAGAAGCGGTAATAGATGAGCCAGTCTACTATCTAGTCTAGATAGGGTTGATTCCGCTTCGACAGCGGTCCAGTCATTATCTAGGATGTTTTAAGTTCAGGACTTTGCGCTTCCGTTCAAGCACGCGAAATATTCGGACTCTCGTCCTATCTCTCAAACCTAAGTTACTTACCTAGGAGTGATTTAATGTTGTAAGTCGCTGCAAATCTACTAGGTACCGCGCCAATAAGCCATGCCTATGTATGTTAGGTATGTATAATTTGCCATACTATAGCCTACCTTGTAATAGCCGTGTTATAGAAGACAACTATACCTCCGTTTATCTATACCTGCCCTCCTGAGACGGGAGAGGTGGAAGTGTCGAGGAGATGTCTTTTATAGGGCCGTCACACGCGCACTGGGAACAAATTTGTGAGACGTGGATGCTAAGTAAGGGTAGTTGTCCTGTATTTCACGTTGAATCTTTCACACCAGTTTTTCCTACACCTAAGCTAGTTCATTACGCACCGCTTCGGCATGCAGAAATCGTGTCACAGATCTTACGTTGACCGGACTTGAGCCTGCCGTGTGTAAATATCTGTTGAGTAGACTTTGGCAAGGGGCTCCAGACTCCCGGGAAGGCAGATACGTGTTAGAGTGTAGAAAGCGGCCTGTTTCATTCCGAATACCTGCAGTCATGGAACGTCCTACTGGCCAGTCATTATTCGAATTTCTCAATACTCCATGGTCAAGGTCCATCATACTTTCCTTACCTTAAGTAGGTACTTACTTATACATGCATTCATTTAGAGAGCCAAGCCGTAACATTTCTGACCAGGCCTACCTGCATGTGCGAAAGGTAGACACGTCATGGTATTCTGTATTTGGTACAAATATATTTTAAATATCCAACTTGCCTAAAGAGGGACTCCGTTAGATCCACGCAAGGGACAGCATCTGCAAATACGTGCTGCAGGTTGTAAGCCAGAGCTTGCATTTCTATCAGCTTTCATGTATTATCGTATTGGGGAACTTCGGAGCAAGTCTCTATAGTAGGAACCGACTACATACTTTCTTAAGTACTCTACCTGTAAGCGTCTAAGCCAGTGACATGTGTTAAACTCGGGGCCTGCTCCTCTCTATCCCTTCCTCTAACAAAAGCGATTTTTTATCTGGCCCGAGTCTATACTCTTAAAAATGAAAGGGCGAGCGATGGCAATGCCTTCACTTGTGGTATTGTTTCCGTAGCACCGTGGTGTTGGGAAGTACATAGTCATGTCAGATGCAACGGCTCTTACAGAACAACGACTGGTCGGCAGAGAATAGAGAATGTACAATATATCTAGTCGGCAGGAGCCAACCACACCCTCCCTATACGTAGTACGTAGCAATGTCCCTGGGCCATCTTTCTTGAATGCAACGTGGCCAGACAACGCTCAGAAATGTGGTTGGCATGATTACTAAAACACCACTACTAGAGCACAACATATCGGACGCGCGTTTCAGCGCCGGCATGCGTCTCGGTTGGGCAATGCAGGTATAGAAGGCAAGGGCAGGGTAGGTAGAGATATAGCTAAGCCTAGAACATAGTTATCTTGCCCATGAATCAATGCATGATCACAGCAGCTCTTGCAGGGCCATAGGTTATAACTTCTACTTGGTGGGAGGTATAGTACGCTTGCAATATCATTCATTGCATACTCTAGTCGCATCTCTGCATACAATATCATTAATATTATTATTTTCCGTCTGCCGTGATACCGGCTCTCCCTATCTGGCAAGTCTAGAAGATTCTTTTGCTGCAGCAAGTTTCGAGGAGAAAGGCCATCTTCACATGTGCTATACGAGCTAAAAGGCGTATACCGGTCCGTATGCTACGTAAAGTGTTAAAGCATAGACTTCCCAGTAAGGTTTCTTTCGGCCCCCTCTAAAGAATATTCAAATTCACAATATAAGTGAAGAGAATCTGTGACAGAGCTGGTCATCACTTGCATGAGAAACTGAGCTAAAATAACCTCTGACCTAACCTCCTATCTACTATCTACTTTAGACCCGGAAACGTACATGCCGTACCTTACCGACCTACTGCAGTTTACTCGCTGTTTTTGATATAGCTACTGACCTTAGTAAGTACGGATACTTCGAGTTTGGTTAGGCGACGTGATCGCTCTTCTCGAGGAGGGGAAAGGCAATGTGATGAGCATAAGAGGGAAAAAAGTGCCCGATTGGCGATGCGAATTTTCCTTGTTCCTGCAGTCGAGGAAAAGATAATCAAGTGTGCAGCAGTACAGAAAACCTACCAGTCTACATATGTGGACTATCTAGATAGGAGTTGAGAGGGAAGAGGAAGAGGGGAGAGTGCCAAGTAAAGTCGCATGCACACTCCGACGCCGACGCCACCCTCGTACACCGTAAAATAATGATAAAAGAGGCAACCTAAAAGGTAATGATGGCTCACCAAGGTAGATTACAATTCCTCAGTATTTTTTTAACGGAATCTACCTTGAGTCTAAGGTTAGGCTGGTAGGTACTTACACAACAGCAGGACTTTGGGCCAAGGCACGTTTCCTGGCGTAAATAATACGAGAGGGAGAGAGAGAGGGGTATGCGTCTATGTGCCTGTGCTATCGGGCAATGCGTGTCCGGAGTTGACGAATTTGATCTGGGAGTGCATGCATGCTAACGCTTACGTGTGCGCTAACCTAAACCTTATTATCTAGTTAGTAGGACACTGCTGTGCATAGATAGCTTGGTCGAAAGGTATGCGATGGTAGATACACCGCACATCAAAGCTCCGACTCCCGTGATCATCCATCCACTCGTGGTGTTGACTCTTGAGGGCCAATGAACCAAGTTCCAACCAACCAAGCCACCCACCCGCCTTTACACCATGGAACTGGGTGCTCCGAATACACACCACACTTATAAGCAAGATTTACCTCTTGCACACCACATATAGCAATGCTCCAGTGGACGTCCGCGCACACATCACGGTTTCCCCCTAGGTTGATGCAAAGGGAAAGTAATGCTCTGCGCCGCAATAGGCCATGTGTACCCAGTATCTCAAGTAGACTAGTAGTAAATGTCTGCTGACTTTTCTCATCTTAGCTTCTAACCTAACCCTCTATATTATGCATTTACAAGTACATGGATAATTCTGCATATTGGCTGCCGCTGTTAAGGAAAAACAGAGCGAACCGACTTACCTAATAGGGCAATACAGCAACGAAGCAATGCAATGTACTGCTGTAACCGCGATGGAGGCAGTTAGGTAACGCCAAATATACTTAGATACCATAGGTATGCAACTTTGTTTGCTCAGTCCAATAGAGCTATAGAGAAGCCAGGACGTATATATACTATACTGTTAGATTTGACCCTACCGGACAAAAGAGAATCAATATAGATCCCCATAGATGGCCAATAGGGAGAAACGGCCCCCTTCATACCAAGCCTAATAACCTGTTTTGTTACCTTAGCTGTGTTAGAAGAAAGAATGCAAAACCATTTACGTTTACAACCTTCACATGTCCTGGTAGACACACTAATGCTGTGTGCCACCGTCACACATACAGTAGACCGTGCCGACGTTCGCCCCTTGCATCGGATTCGCACCCCCATCATTCGCATCCGCCTGCGAAAAATCG